TGAGGCAGCGGTACTTTTACCCCATTTTGTAGGTGATAAAACGGAGGCACTGGGCCAAGCTCCCACAGCCACTCTGGGTCTGGGGTTTGACATCCACTGGGCTTAAACCTACTTCCTCCCCCGCCTCCCAGGCCTCTCCCATCAGCCTCGGTGTGGCCAAAGGCCAATTTATCACCGAGTCTGGCTTTTCCAAGAAACCCTTTCTCTTCCTCTACCCTTAGGATTAGGGCTGAGTCACAAAGGCCAGTTTGCTCTGGTCTCCTCCCCCTCTTCCTGCTCACCATTCTTCTCTCCTCACCTCCCCTTCCCCATGCTCCCCACCTCTGGAGGAGGGGGGAGGGGAGGGGGGTATGGGCTGCTCCCCCCACCTCAGTCTCTGCAGTGGCTGGGACTGAGTCCCCTTCTCTGGCCAGCTCCTCTGGACTCTCTCAGTGAGGCACAAGGCACGTGGCCGCTTTCTCCAGAGGCCAGGGTGTCACACATGTTATTCCAGGCCTGGGCCTGGCGGTGGGGAGGCAGTGGGAGGCGGGCAGACCGGGGCTGGTGTCAGACACTGAGCTGCATGGGACTTCAGGCGAGTCCCTGAACTTGCTGAGCATCAGGCGTTCTGCCTCTCAGACCGCCACGGCCTCATCAGGGCTTGTGAGGACTAATGAGGCTGTATTCCTACAAGGCCTGGTACATAGTAGGTTCTTCATTCTGGAGGCTACTGGGATCACTGGGGTCAGAGGGCAGAAGGGCAACTGTGGGAGCCTCCGGAAGCTTCTCCTGGGAGGAGCGTCCATGGGAATTTGTCCTCTGGGCCACCGCAGGTGTGCTTTCTGTGGAGTTTCCAGATGGTGGGCTCTGTGCCAGGAATCGGGTGGGGCTGTGTTCTCCAGGGGAGACTGTGGCCCCCCGTGGGGTTGCCTGTGAGCTGTCAGGAGGCAAGATGAAGATAAATGAGAACTATATCCTCTCTCCTAGCTCATTGTGTGTCCTGAGGTCTCTGTGGGCCAGAAATCCTGGGAGACTTCCTGGAGGAGGAGGAGGAGGCGGAGGCATCAGACTAGGCGTTCTCATGGGTGGTTGAAATAGGCGAAGTGAAGCAGATGGGAGAAAAGGCGCAGGCAGAGTCTGGGAGGTGGGCCAGTGTCAGGAGGATTGTCATCAGCAGCAAGGCTGGTTGGGGAGCCCCCAATGCAGGGATGTGGTTGTGACGCCTGGTGGCCGTCTCCAAGGGCACGGGGCTAGTGGGGAGGACAGACCAGCTGCAGGAAACGCCATGGCATCAGCCGGCTAGCTGGGCTGATCACCACAAGTCTCTCAGTCCTGCGTATCGGGCCCTGTGGGGTGAGGCGGACCTTCTGGGCCTCTGCCCACCATGGGCCAGTGCATTCATTTATTCAACAGGGACTTACTGGGCTCCTGTGGGAACCTTAGTTCTGACAAGAACTAAGGGTGCCACAGCAAACAAAACAGACCAAAGTCTCTGTCTCCATGCAGTGGAGACAAACAAAGCAGGGTGAGGGTGGGGAGGCCTGGGGAGGGGCTGTCATCTTAGGAGGAGACATTAGAGCAGATACTGGAGGAGACGAGCGGCACACCTGGGTATTTGAGGGAAACGCATTCTAAGTAGAGGGAGCAGCAAAGGCCCCGAGGCTGGAATGTGGGTAGTGGGGGGGGGTCCCCTCCCCGCCCCCCTGTGGCGGGAGTGGGCGGGGTTGGCGAGGGAGGGCAGCAGTGGCGCGGGCGGGAGGTGAGGCGTACCTGGAAGGCCTCGGGACTAACTTCTCTGAAGAACCTTCACGGAATTTTTTAATATAATATTTTTAAGGTTGAGGTTTAAGTTACACAACATGAAACCCACCATTTGAAGAGTGCGGCTTGGTGACCTGCGTATAAACGCACAGCTGTGCGGCCGTCACCACCGCCCAGTGCTGGGCGTTTTTGCCGCCCAGGAAGCTCTGTGTTCTGCGGGCCGGTCTTCAGTCGGTCCCTGTTCTCGCCACCAGCAAGCACTGGCCTGCCTTCCGTCTGTAGTTTTGAAGTTTTATATGACTACAATCATACACCTGAGTATATGCATCACTCCGTGTGTGCATCTGGAGGTTTGTCCGCATTGCTGCAGGCGTCGGCGGTCCCTTACTGCTGCTGGGTGCCATGCACTCATGCAGACGGGCCGTCTGCGCGCTCACCGGTGGGCGCACGTCTGGGCGTCTGCCGTTTTGGGCTATTATGAATAAAGTTACTATGAACTTTATTTTAAGCAAATATTTGTTTGGATGTGTGTTTTGATTTCTCTTGGGTGGTTGGATCATGCCATAGGTGTGTACTTAACTTTTTAAGAAACTGCCAAACTGTTTTCTAAAGTGGTTGTACTGTTTTTCATTTCCGCCAACAATCTGCATGTTCCAGCTGCTGCACATCCTTGGCTGCACTTGACCTTGGCCGCTCCCGTGTTCAGCCTTTCCAGCTGGTGTGAGGTGGTATCTCTGTGCGGTGTCGACCCTCATTGCCTCATGACTACTGACACTGGTCACTTCTTCCTGTGCTTACTGCTGTTTGCATGTCTTTGTTGTTTGGGGAAGTGACATTCGCAGCTTTTGCTCATTTTTCACTAGGTTGTCCTATTAGGGAGTCGTACGAGTTCTTTATGTGTCCTGAATACAAGTCCTTCATTAGATATGTGATTTGTAGCTTTTTTTCTTGGGCAGAGAAGTGGCTGTGGGGTCCTCAGCCACTGAGGGGGTCCTCACACCTCGCTTCTGTCCTGGCAACACGCACCCCTCTGTCTCCGGCCTCTGCGGCTCTCAAGGTTTCCTAGGTCAGAGGGTCCCCTGGCTAAGCCACAGGGGCAGGGTTTGGCCACCCAGAGTGGCCACCATTCACTGTCACCAGAGACCACCCTCAGTGCCCTTGCTGGCTCAGCAGGTCTCTCTCAGGCTCAGGGATGCCTGCACAGCCTCACCAGCTTCACAGGGAGAGATGTCGTGAACCACGGGCGGCTCCCCAGGGGCAGGCTTCCTGGACCAGATTCTGGGTGGCAGAGGAGCAGCCTCCTGTCCGAGCCAGACCAAGGGACTCCGGGCTCCAGAATTCCAGGGGTGCCAGAGTCGTGGGTCAGGGGTTGGAGGTTGGATCTGTGAGGCTGCGGGGCCAGGTCAGGGTGGGAGAGGATGCCCCATTCTCCGGTTGGCTCACCTGGGCAAGTAGGTGTCACTGCTGTGTGCCTTGGGGAAGGGTAAGCTCGGTTCTCTCTGTTCCTGTGGCTGGCAGCCCCACGTGAATAGCTGGTCCTTCCCAGGACAGGTCATAGTGTTGCTGGCTCGTCTTGCTGGCTGGAGAGCCATTCTGAAGATACCGCGTATTCCTGCTGTGGGCTTGTGCGTTGGCTTCAGTATTAGAACTTCTTTGGTTGCAAGCAGCAGTGTCCCTCAAATAGGTTTAGGCAGAGAGAAAACAGTGCACGTGTATGTGAGGACTTGTCAGCTGGGGTGAGGGGCTCGAGTGACCATCTTCAGGCTCAGCTGGATCCAGGCATCTAGGCCATCGAATCCAGCAAGTCGGCTCTGCCTTCTCTGAGTTGGAATCATTCCTGGTGGCTGTCCCGTGCGGTAACGGGGGCCCCCCGCAGTTCCTGGCATCTGTCCCACACCGGGCAGCCTCAGAGCAAGGAGAACTTCTTCCCAAGGGTCCCAGCCAGAGTCCAGGCCCGGATGCTCCCTGGGTCCCGTGGTTTTCCCTCAGCTCACCCCAGCGGGCTCCGACCAGGTCTGGGTCATGTGTCTGCACCAGGTGTGTATGTGGGGTCAGCTCACGTTAGTCACGTGGATCAAGAGTGGAGAAAAGGGTTTTCTAAAAGGGAATGGTGTTCAGTGACCAAGGGTGGGATGAGAATATGGCTGGACGGGCAGAGGGCGTGGCATCCCCCACTGTATCCGAGTGGAGTGCCCAGAAGACATTGATTCCCCCTGTTCACAAGGTCCTGAGCGGGGTGAAGCTTTCGCCCAGAATCCTCCATCTGTCCTGTGGTGCTCTGCATTGCCTCTCCCCACCGGGCAGTGTGCTCCCCAGGAAGGGCCTGCAGTTCTGGGGAGGGCGGGGCCTGGCCCCTCGTGTGCCTTCCTGAGACGTTTGGTGCCAGAGAGGGTATGCGCCCAGGACCGTGAGGGAGGAGGCCGGGCATGGGCCTGTCCTTTGTGCCTCCCCCCAGTCTCCCTGCAGCCAGCCCTGTCTTGCTGGCATCTGGTTCCCTGAACTGATTGCCTTGGAGAACGGAGACATCCCTTTGTCAAACACTGTACACTGTATGCATCGCCCCTTCTCTGTTTAATTATGAAGGTAGGAGCCATAACGGTGGAAGGGCAGGCAGAGGGCAGGTCAGTCCATCCTGCCGAGGGACATGGGCCTCTGTGTCACCACACCAGGTGGGGAAGGCAGGTGCTGGGAGGGTGAGCACAAGAGCTGGAGTGCGGCCTCTGTGGCCAGGCAGAACAGTGAGCCGGTTGATGAAATTAGACATTGCTTTGCCAGCCCGAATTAGGAGGGTTGCAAGTTACTGGCTCATCCTGGAGAGTCTGGGGGCTGATGGGGAGTAGCCCACCAGGTTGCCACGTGAGTGAGACTCCACATCAGCTTGTCCTCTGTGGCGAGAGTCACACTCAGGTCTTGGTGGCTCTGCTAACCCCCGTGGTCCTAGTATGTGGCTGCTGGGGTTTGTACCGCGTTGCTGCAGACCCCAAGCCGGTTTGCTCCTGAGTCCCGCCTCTTGGACCCTGGAAGTGGGCAGAAAAAACGTGGCAGACCTGCAAGTCCAGCAGACCAGGACACTTGTCCTGACAACGCCACTGCCACAGGGGGCCTGCATTTGCTGCCACTTCTCTGTGCCTCAGTTTCCCTATGTAGAAAAAGGGGGTGATGATGGTCTGGGCCTCACAGTGTGGGTAGTACCAGAATCCTCCCATGTCGGCATTGGGGTGATGTTATGATGTGTGATCGCTCCTGTTCTCTGCCTGCAGGTGAGTGACGATGGGAGAGAGAACGTGACCTGCACGGGCCCTTCTCCACCCTCTGAGTGGCCCCACCATGCAGAAGCCCAGCGGCCTGAAGCCCCCCGGCCGTGGGGGGAAACACTCGAGCCCCATGGGCCGGGCACCCGCTGGGTCAGCCTCGGCCTCTGCCCCGGCAGCAGCCACCGGCTCCAAGGAAGGTGCGCAGGGCCAAGGGCGGTAGGGTGAGGGGTGGGTGGGGTGTGGATCTCCTGGAAGATCCTCTCTGACCACCCTGGAGGCCAGCGGTACATGGAAGTTATTCTCTGTGTCCACTGCGATCCCTTCAAAAATTCACCAGTGACAGCACTGCTGCGTGGTCTGTGGGTGCCGCTCCTGTCCATGCTCCCCGGGCCGGGGGGCGGCTACGCCGTTGGCTGCACTGCGGACGAGGAGACAGAGTTCCAGGAAAGGGCGTCTCGCCCAAGGTCCCTCAGCCTCCTCTGCCTCCTTGCGCCCACTCACTCCCTTTCAGGGTCTGAGATGGCCCCAGTGGAGCCAGCCCCATCTTCCCACCAGCCTTCCTGCTCGTCACCCGGAACCATGCCCTTCGACCTTTCCTTGTCTGACCGCTAGTCTCCCTGCTGTGGGGCAAAGGGCGCCCTGGCTGGAGGCGTCTGCCCTGAGGGCAAATGGTGGAGAACAGCTGTTGGTTGCTTGGTTTTTCTGGTCGTAAAAGTGAGATAGACCCTATGGGAAATGTGGAAAGATTGATGCTGGAGTCAAGTTGCCTACAGTCCCACCCACTGGAGGCAACTATGATGCTGGTTTACATCCTTACTCTTTTTTTCTTATTTATTTGTGATCGTGCTACACCTACAACTTGAAAATCTGCTCTTTTTCATTTTACATGATCAGGTGAATTTTTCTTATCATTAAAACATCACATGCTTATTGTTTTTAATGGCTGTGAAATATCCTGTTCATTCAACAAACATAAGTCGAGGGCCTGCTTCTTTGACCGGGTCTAACCCCAACCCCTGAGCTCTCATTCTGAGCAAAACCAGTGTGGTCCAGCCCTCCGGGCGCTGCCTGTCTGGCGGGAGAGGCTGACTGTCATGATTTCCTGGGATGGGGGTCTGACCAGGTCGGGAAGGAGAGGCCTGTGCCCTGCGGTCTAGGAGGTGATGGATGGAGAGGGGAGTGTGTTCCAGGTCGAGGGAACAGCATGTGCAAGGTCTCAGTGGCAGGAGTGGGCGTGGCCAGTACAAGGGAGGGAAGAAAGGGAGTGAGGCTGGAACGGGACTGGTGAGTATCATGCTGGTGAGGTGGTAGGCCAGGCGGGGGCAGCTTGGGGTCATGCAGGCAGTTTACTAACATCCCAGTAGCTGTGGGAAGCCACTGGAGGGTTGATCAAAAGGAACATGATGGAAGGGATTGGAAAAGTTTTAACCCATTCTCCGAGGTTGAAAATTTTGACTGTTTTTTATTTTTCACTTGGATAAACAATGCTATCATGCACATCTCTGGGCGCAACTCCTTGCTTTGATTTGACGGCAGCCATCCAGGTGAGAAGCTGTCCGTCTCATCTGATTGGCACAGAAGTTTGGAGAGAGAAAAATAGCCGGAGGCCAGACTGGGAAATCTGGGCTGTGGGTTTGGTTGGGGCAAGGAAAGTTTGAGCCACAGGCCTGGTCCAGGCCGAACCTGGCAGAACCAGGTCCCTGGCAGAGCTGAGCAACCAGTGTGACAGGGTGAGGACACTGTGCAGTGCGGCCTGCAGGTGACCGATACAGGCAGGTCTGCCCAGTGCCCCCTTGTTTGAAGGCCCAGACTTCCCCTCCAAGGTGACAGGTGAGAGAAAATGAGATGGGAAGCCTGTCCCAGGTGGAGAGAACGAGTGTGGCAAAGGCAGGAGTGAATTATGTTTGTTACGCAGGGAGGCAAGTCTGGGTAGAGAGGAGTGTGAAGGAGGCTGGGGAGGGTGGCAGAGGCGGGTGATGCGGGGCAGGGGTTTAAGAGTGATGGGAGCTGCTGGACGGTGTTAGCAGAGCAGTGACTGGATGTATACATCCCTGGGGCCCCATGTGCAGGATAGGCTGTGGGGGCAGGGGGACCTGTGACATGTGGTCACCTAGGCAGGGAGGGATGCCTGCACTCACTGCCAGGGCTCTGAGAGGTCAAGGGGGTGACCACCACAGCCAGGAGTGGGCCATCAGGGAAGACTTCCTGGAGGAAGCCCGACAGAGCGTGGCCTTGAGAACAGGGCAGTGTAAGTGGTAGAGGGGAAAGGACTCGCAGGCTGTGGGGAAGAGTGGGCTCAGCTTGGTCCAGTGGGGGTGCGGGTGGCAGTGGCAGTTGTGTAACCCACCTCCTGGAGAAGGGCACCAGCCAGGCCTGCCCTGACTGTCTTCTCTACTGCAGAGAGCCCACAGCACCTCCTGGGTTCTTCCCTGGGTGCTCCCCCCTGAGCAAGAGTGGCCAGAATCTGGCTCTGATCCACCATAATGTGCTCTGCCCCCGGAAGAGTTCCTTAACCTCTCTGAGCCACTAATGGGATAATAAAACCTCTCTGATGAGAGCAAGTCAGTTAAGGAACTGAAGTGCCTGTAGGCACGACACTCATTAAATTTCTTTCCCTTCCATCCATCCTTAATCTCATTACGGAAAACCTTGAAAGTGGAAAAGAAGAAACGCCCCCTCTACTGAACCTAAGCCCCACCACCACGTGCGTACCTCCTTCCAGGCTTTCTCCCTGCTGCACACATTGTTTTAAGTAGTTAAGTCGTAGGTTGCACCCGTATTTGCATCCTCCTTTTCCACGGTTGGTTGTGCCTGCGGAGGTTTTGCTGTCCTTTTGAACAGCTGCATAGTAGTCCCTGGAGGGAATGGGGATGGAGCACAGTTGCTTCCTGGTCGCACTGCACAGTGGCCTGGGAGCCCCTGAGGTGGGGACTGGGTGGTCTGCCCTGGCCTGGGCCCCCGACCCAGAAGGCTGTTCCAGAGAGAGGAGGCGCCTCCACGAATGTCCGATTGATTGCAGAGCCACACCCCCGTGCCCCGTGTGGGCATGAGAGGCTGCAGCTGGGCCTGGTGGTGCCCTCTCTCCTCTGGCACCAGCTGCCTTTGCAGACACCCAGGCTAGGGGAGGGAGTGGAGAGCTGGGAGAGTTGGAAAAGGCAGAGAAACCCTGTGGGAGGGGAAGGGAGATTTCTGCCATCCAGGGCTGCTTTGTCTCAATAACGAGAGTCTCTGGAGAGGATGGGCGGGTGGAAGCACCAGGGCAGGACTGTGCCCCCGCCCACTCTCATTGGCCCTCAGGCTCCCTCCCCCATCCCTCAGAACTGGCCATCTGTACTCTGAGTTGCTGGAGGGAAGTGCCAACCCCACTGGAAGCTGGGACTCTGTGTGAGGGGCACCCGGGCACTGGGCGAGGGGTCTGGCCCAGGCTGGAGCCTGCTTAGAGATGGAGGGCAGTGAAAAGCTGGAGTCTGTTCTGGGAATCGGGGCAGTGGCTGCCTCCCAAAGCATGAGCTCAGCCTCCTGGCAGAGGGTCTGGCCAAGGGCTGGGGCTGGACTGATGCCCCCACCCCTGCCCCATGGAGATGGGAGGGCCTGTGTCAGACCCCAGAGCTGTGACACACAGGGAGCAGCAGAGATGAGGGGACCGTTGGAAGAGGTGTCTCATATACTAGGAGGTGGCCCAGAGGTGGTCAGAACAGGCGTGCAGGAGGGCGGTCTCAGATCCCCTGTGGGCAGAGGCCTGGGTGGGGCAGCGCAGTCAGGGACAGCCCGGCTGGACTACATGGAGCACCTGGAGGCTGCTTCGGATCAGGAGGTCAGGGAGGGGCTTGCTCAGGAGGTGGCGTTGGTGCAAAGATCTGAGTGACAGGAGCCAAAGAGCTGAGGTCAGGGGAAGAGCCTCAATACAGAGGCAAGAGTGGCTGCAAGGCCCTGAGGTCTGAGATGTCTGAGGACCGACCGGAGGGCATCTTGAGTGGACAAGGCAGGGGGTGGGGGTCACTGATGGGCCAGGGCAGGAGGCAGGACCCCAGGTGGAAGTTGGGGAGCTGTGACTGGGGCCACCTGGGGGTTGGAATGTGGCCTGGGCCCAAGGGGACGGGGGTTCAGGCCTCCAGATGTCAGCTCAAGACTACTGCCGGCGAATGGCCCTCCCTTTGGGTCTGGAGCAGCCCTCAGTGGCTGGGCAGGGCCTGATGCTGCCCTGCAGTTGTGGAAAAGAAGGGACTGCTGCACACTGTGAACAGGGGCCCTTAGCCCTTCCGTCAGGCTCATTTCTGAGCCGCGGCTCAGGGCAGGCCAGGCTGGGGGGGGACTCAGAGCGCTGCTGAGCGAGGGGACAGGCTAGAGGCCACTGTCGAGTTCCCTCTGCCCTTGCTCCTCCAATGGAGTGGGCAGGTTCTTGAAGGACCTTTGCCATCCCTTGTGCTGTGGCCCAGCCCCAGAGATGCCCTGCATAGGCAGAAAGACATTTGACACTGACTATGTCCCAAGTAGGCTGTGCAGCAGGCATCTTATATCACGTGTATTTCTCTTAACAAACTGGTGAGATAAGTGCTCTTCTCTCCATTTTAAAGATGAGAAAACTGAGGTTTGGAGCTCTCAGCTCAGTTGCCCAGAGTTACAGGGCCAGAGAGAGGCCGGGCTGGGTCTCAAGCTGCCTCAGGCCACTGGCACCTGCTGTCCCACCCCAGAGGTGGGGTGTCTGGGGCCCCAAGTTCAGTCCCACCTAGCTCCACACACTCAGCTCACACCCCAGGCAGGTGGGCTGGGTGGGAGGCGTGGGCTGTTTGGATTAGGTTGGTCACAACTGTCCTCCAATGTGCCTTCAGCCTTTCCTCATGGTGCTGACTCAGGACACAGGAGGTCAGGGAAGAGATCCCTCTTCCTGGAATGGGATTCCCCCTTGGACAGGGAGCGAGCTGTGGGGGTGAGGTTCGCCTGTATGTTGATCTCTCCAAAGGGTGCACACAGGGCTGGTCCCAGAGCTTTTAGTTCTGGCTCACTGAGTTGGGCCCAGACACCCCTGTACCCTCTGGGGGCCCAGACGTGGCAGCCAGCCTGACCTGCCCCAGGTGAGGCCCCCAGAGCCAGCCTCCACCCCACCCCATCCCCAGAGGAGTGCCTTTCACCTTGGTACCCGTGCTCCCTGGGAGGACGGGAGGCACATCCCCATTTTAAGTGACGTGTCCCAGGTGCT